AAGAAACTTCAAAGTCGAGAAAACAACAAAAAATTCTTATTAAATTAATCTTTTTATATAATATCATTTATACTCTATTTTTAATATTATTTTACTATTTTTTATATTGATCAATATATATATAAATATCAGCTGCTTTTAAATCTTAAATCATATATATATATATATATATATATATATATATGAAGAAAAATACACGGAAAAAAACAAACAAAATCCTAATATGCAATTATGTTGTTTTGACCGAACGTATCTCCAATAATTTAAATCCGCTAAAAATTAAAACTACAATATTACCTGCATATTATGTGAAGATTTTAAAATATATTCATAATAAAAATCTTGAGGCAGGCATAATATCCATCTCACGCACGGTGAATACTAGACCCGGCTTCTTTAATATTTCCCCTTCTCTAGCAAGATTAATGCTCGACAAACGTACATATAAATTTTAGATTAAAATAAAATTCTTTTCATTTTTCATTCAAAATACTATATTTTAGGAATACGTTTTCACAACATCGCCGACGTGACGCCGACGTGACGCCGACATGACGCCGACGTGATCATATTGAAACGGAACGCTGATCTTGAAAAATTTCAGTAGTCTGTGTTGATTAGTCTTACTCTTATGTCCATCGTCTTTTCATGTTGAATTAAATATAGTCTAATGTTAATTATGTTTTATGAAGATGTCCTGAAGATGGTCTACTAGACCGAAACGTCCGACGTTGACATTATATTAACATTAAAACAGCATAATTGCATATTAGGATTTTTGTTTGTTTTTTCCGTGTATTTTTCTTCATATTGTCGGATCTGTATCCATATATTTGCTTACCTAAATATATATATATATATATATATATATATTACTTAAACCATACTTATATGGGTACTCGTATTTGAGAAGACGTTTCGTTTACTCATTAAACAGTATATTTATTTATTTTCGTTTACCAGCCTAAATATTCGAGACAAATATGAGATCTTCGGCAGGATACGAGGAGGGGTAACCGTCATTAGATCTGGAAGGCTCTGACCTCTTGTCTACAGAATGCTTCGATCACCAATCAAAGTGGAATAGTCTCTTAAACACTGATTTGGAGCAACGATATATATTTTTCATATACAACTTGTACTAATTACTACAAAGTATGAATTGGAGAAACGTTAAGTGATTTAATTAAAAAATATAAAACAACAAAAGTAATCGTTTAAAAAAGAAAACATTCAGCGCATTAGTTGCTCAGCGTAATGTGTCTGATAATAATTTTGACATAAATAAAGCTACTATAATTAAAATAGACAACAATTTTACCCAGACGTAAGTGTAGGAAATTTTATTTCATCGCGCGATCATCTACAGTAAAATTTACGCCCGGATTCTTAAAAGATTTCACCTTTCTTGGCAGATCTACTATTACGATAAGAGAAGTTCGGCCGAAGAAAGGTGAAATCTTGTAAGAATCTGGGCGTAAATTTACTGTAGAAGATCGAGCGATTAAACCATAAATAAATATGAGATGTTTAATCTCAAAAGTGATAGAAATCATAGACAAAAGGAAAATAAATTAAATCGGCTAGACTATATAAGCAACATACATATATAAAAAAAATTAAGATAAAATTTTCAATAGGCCCCACCCCTTTGTATGCATTTGTTAAAATCGCATCAGCGTAAACATCACTCCAGTCAGTAGAAGTAATAAGCGACGAAACGTAAACCAACCAATATATATATATATATATATATATATATATATATATATATATATATATATATATATATATATATATATATATGTACAGACACGCACACATACACACGGATATATATATATAGTCTATATTATAACTAATATATATATATATATATATAGGTAGTCCATATAACTAATATATGTATGTATATATATGTTATGTTTATTATGAATAAGATATATAAATACACACACACACATATATATATATATATATATATATATATATATATATATATGTACATGCATATACGTAGTCCATATTACTAATATATATACATATAGGTAGTGTATATTATAAATAATATATATATATATACATGCATGTAGTCAATATTATAACTAATAGATAATTGACATATATATATATTTGTGCTTTTAGGCAGTAAATTCTGTTTTAGGCATGTCTGATTGAATAAATTACAAACAGTCTGCTAATTTTGATCATAATCCCCTCATATTCACGAATATTTCCTTATATTACAATTAATCAAGGCAAGACATGTACTGTAACAGTGAGAATTGCATTTATTTCCCAAGTATATATATATATATATATATATATATATATATATATATATATAAAGTACAGTGTATTTGGGTGATAGCATGTCGGAAGTTTTTCATATCATCGCTCGCCGACAAGTCATTGACGCCATTATGCCCGACACGATAATTAAGCAAGCTCTTATTCAAATTGAGGATAAGGTTATAGCACTTTCAGGGTGCAATTTGCCAGCCTACAATTTGCCAATACCCGTTAGAAATGATGAACGAATGAATAGAGAGATGCCCAGAGAGCTTTCATACAACATAGATGAAGTAACAACACAAGTGCAGGATCAAATTTACTGCACTCGGGAGAGACCGACGAGTGTTTGTTTTATGAACGTACTTCAATCTCAAACGCTGATGAAGCCCCTTGAGGATGCTGAGAATAGCATGGACCGACAAATTTTAAATACTGCATTAAAGGTCTTCAGAAAATAAATTGTAAATGCATTTGCCACTATCTCAGTGTACACTTTGGCCTACATTAGCCAAGATGTATTTTGCCGTACTAATAAATTTCTGGAAGGTAAAGGCCACCATTTTGAGCATTTCTTATGGTTGTAATATCCAAAGGTAATTTGTATTAATCTCGTGATGTCAAAAAAAATTTAGTATTACAATATCTATACAGGTTTTTCTTTTCCTGAATGTGCATTCATTTTTTGTGCTCTCACTCTCTCTCTCTCTTTTTATATATATATATATATATATATATATATATGTGTGTGTGTGTGTGTGTGTGTGTGTGTGTGAAAATATATGGAAATAGGAAAGAACTCGTTGAATGTAACTCTATACTGATACAAATCATTAACACCCTACACCCCTTTCTATTTAAACAATCGCTCTAGCCGTTACCATGGAAATTTTGATTTCAATAATGAATATGCTATTAAAACACGTAAATTTCAGAAATAAGTTATTCCAAAAAAAATTTCGCTTGAAGATGAAACAGAGCTTACTTTAATTCAATTTAATTCAAATAATTATATTGAAGTTTTCGGCTCTTGTTTTGAAACATGAGAACTCTTATGTAGCGTGTTGGAATCATATTTTTAAATAAATAATTATATATATATATATATATATATATATATAAGCAAGTGTAAATGGATAAAATCCGACAGAATGTAGAAATTTTGAAAAACAAACAAAAATCCATAAATGTAGTTAAAATGAAAGAATTGTCGACGTCAGACGTTTCGGTTTTAATAAACCATTTTCAAGACAAATTCATTAAAATACAAATTCAGTTCAATATGACGAAAACGATGGACATAAAAACACAAGTCTTATCCAAGAGTAAAACAGATAACTGAAAATTTTTAAAAAGATCAGCTTTCCGTTTAACGTGGTCACGCCGTAGTCACATGGGCGACGCTTTCATAACGTATTCCTAAAAGTTCGTGATTATTTTAAAATTCCTGTATTTCCGGATAAGCCTGCAATCTTCCATGTTGTAAAAAACGAATTTAGGTTTTGTTTTCCAGACAGTATATAAGCAAGTGTAGATGGATAAAATCCGACAGAATGTAGAAAATTTTGAAAAACAAACAAAAATCCATAAATGTAGTTAAAATGAAAAGAATTGTCGACGTCAGACGTTTCGGTTTTAAAATTTTCAAGTTATCTGTTTTACTCGAAAACGATGGATAAGACTGCAAGTGTTTTTAACGTGAAAATGGAAAAAGATCTTTTTCCGTTTAACGTGGTCTGTTTTCATAACGTATTATTGTTCGTGAATTTTATGTTTTCCTGATTTTGTTAAAAAATGAATTTGTCTTGAAAATGGTTTATTAAAACCGAAACGTCTGACGTCGACAATTTTTCATTTTAACACATTTATGGATTTTTGTTTGTTTTTCAAAATTTCTACATATATATATATATATATATATATATTTCTCAATCTCATCAAGAAACATTTCACCGACCCCGAAACTAACCCACTTAGTAAAATATTCAACTGTGTGTGTCTTTCATTGTTTATGTATGTTGTCGTTTTTTGTTTTTTTTTGTTTTTTTTAAGGGTCGTGGTGATAATTCCTACTTCGTCGCTTTTTTCTGTGTTTATGTATTATAATCTGATTTTGTACGCATTGTTTTTGCACGATTTCATCCTTTCTTGCCTCTGTTTCTGCTTCAAATGTATTTACGTTGTACTGAAGTTCAGAGCAGTATTTGATCTTAACATTTATTCCCACTTAATTTCAATAAAAACATTTTTTCCTCAATAATTTTATAATTTTATACTTAATATAGATTAAATTTAAACTTTAAAATTAGTAATTTTTAATTTTAAATTTTATCGTATAATTTAATATTTATTAGTTAGAATAAATTCTATTTTAGTCTAACCCTAACATTAAAGCATTAAATAATTATTATAACCTTAGTCCGTTGTCAAGTTTTTTGAATTCTGATATACTTGTATTTTTATTGGTAATTGCAACTTATCTAACAGCGTTTCCCCTTAGCGAGGGATGTTTGATTGATTTGAACATTTTAAAAAACTTTTATTCTACATTCAAAAGCATCACTTGATAAGACACCAGAAGTGTTGAAACAAAATGACTATTTTTGTAGTGATTTTATAACATATTTATGTTATAATTTTCGAATAAATAATTATATATATGTGTGTCTGTGTGCGCGCACACGCGCACCTGTGCATATCAGTCTTACCAATGTAGATGTGAGTGTACGCATACTTTTGCGCCGGTTTTGTACACAGTTATAGGCCTTTTACACAGTTGCAAAGTGAAGAGGCAGACAATCGTAAAAAAACAATGCCTGTATTCATTCATCAAATGGAGTAGAGAAGGATAGAAATAAAACAGTAATAGGCACACACACACACACACACACACACACACACATACACTATATTACGTACACACATACACGAGTAATTGTCCCATCTGTGGAACAGACAACAACAACAAAAATGAGAATAAAATAAAAGATGGCCGGACTTGAAGAAAGGGGAGGTAATCAAATTAGATGACTCAACTAAAAAGAAACTTGAAGATAACTCATCGCCCTTAAACAGATTAAGAACGAAAATATAATTAGTAAAAAATATCTAATCAGTATTTTTGGTATATTGTCTTGTGGTTTTGAAATTACCACACCGAACATCAGAAAAGGGATGTAAGACAAAAAGGAAAAAAAATAGACCTGCAACTGATAATTCTATCACTAATGCTGATAACTGTCGGTGTTTCGGATAAAAATAGAAACACTGAAAATTACAATAAAAACTGCAAGAAACAGAGAATTAATATCAGTCTTAATATTAACTTTTGCTTGTATGCACTTGGTGTCCTCTATTCACACCTTGTAGCAATATTAACAATAATAATAATAATAATAATAATAATAATAATAAACGGTGCCTTCTTATTGATATGGCAGTCCCTGCTGACTGCAATGTATCTTTGAAGATATTCAAAAAGCTGTCAAAATACAAGGACCTTGAAATAAAAATCTCGAAAATGTGGCATATGGGAACATCAACAATCCCTGTTGTAGTTGGAGCCCTAGGACTGGATGGAAAAGATTGAAGTAGACTAATTGAAGATATTCCTGGAAGTCCATGCCTCAAGGAGATACAAAAAAATGTTCTGACAAGTACAGCCCACACTTTACGAAGGGCTTTATCTAAGTAATTTTTTTTTTTTTTGTCAGTGGAAAGTGTCATGCTGCCATTTCTAACCTTAGGTCCCTGAGCAGGACCCGGAAAGAAATGTGTAAACGCCAGAAATCAAAGAAAATAATAATAATAATAATAATAATAATATTAATAATAATAATAATAATAACGTAAACTTAAAACTGCAGTTATTCTTGTTTTGATACGGAAATTGGGTATGATAAAGAAGAGTACCAAAAGTCATGTGAGAAAAGTTCCTGAACACGTCAACATCTCAGAGCTACCAATGATTATTTTTTGTGGAACTGTACATATAATCTGCAAATCTCTTTCCGACTAAACGAAACTTTCCAAATTGGGAAAGCTTCGAATCCGTCGTCTTCCAACTATGTGTTAAATAACAGTGTACACTGAGCTCTGCACACAGTTGGCAACCAGTTCCGGAAAAGAAAAGCTCTGAATTCACACCTGTGTAGGGATTTTTGGGGACTTTTTTGGCACAATTTGTTATAATAAGGTTGTGGCTAGTTTTACACAAGCCCCCAGAATCATTATCATATTATTTGTTCGGTCATCTGGAAGATCAGTTCTATATTCAACTGTTGAGGCCTCACATGTCGAAAATGGCAGAAGAAGTAATTCTATTACTCTCTCTCTCTCTCTTTCTCTCTTTGTTTTTCTCTATATCTCTTTCTTTCTCTCCCCTCTCTCCACACATGAAGACGTGTATATGATGACGCCATTTTTTTTTCAGAAAATAGCTGCCTAGCCATAGCTTTCCAGCCACGACAGAATTCAAAATCGTTTACGCCGCCTTGTAAGTGATTACTTATTTTCAACCTTATCTCCTCTTTCCCACGGACGAAATGATGCCAGTCTATCTCTCATTTCATGGCAAATGTTCAGACGTTAGTTTCACCGGTTCAGACATCTAGAGCTAGGTAGATTTACCCGGCCTTCCTATTAAGATCGTTTTAATGTGGGAAGTGCCATATAAATATTTATGCGTATGGGCCAAGGACAAAAGTTGAGTTTTTCCAAGTCCCCGCGACCCCTGTGACGCTGGTATCGATATTACACCGATCCAGCCTCTTTAAGGCAATGAAGAAGGTGCTTCTGCATGGTTGTAATACTCCGGTTCGGAACAACTTCTGTCACCTAAAATGAGGAGAATTACAACTACACTTACAACGCAGGTCATTAACCACGCCTCAGTAAACACTCATTGGCTAATAGATAACTCTTGTGCCGGGTGAGATATCTAGACCTACGACCCACCTTGACTCGTAAACTGCATTGAATTAATCCCCATTCCTTTCGTATTCCACTGGCCAAGAGGAAGTTCGGCCCAGACATTTTCTTCCCCAGAACAGTTTCTTTGGGAAAACGTCTCACTAGCTCATGGGTTGGCAACTCATTCGACCCCGCGGGCCGGATCGTGTTATAATGACGGTTCCGCGGGCCGGACGACGACCATTAATGAAAAATTAAGGAAAATTACATATGCAGACCCCCTGTCAACCTAAATATTTAAAACCATAATGAAAATAAACATTGAGAAATCAGAAAAACAAAAGAAAATATAAAATTAAAAAAAACACCTAACAAAAATTACTTTTCTTCAAGGAACGTCAAAATACTTCAAAGGGAAAAAATCCACCGAAGTGAAATGGATGAAATTATGGTGTGTAGATTTGAAACTGTTATTGAAAATTGTTCCACAAACGAACCACACACACACACACACACATCAAATAAAAACGAAGCACATATACCCATACATACGAGTACAAATAGTTGCAAACATATACACTTACGTACGTACACATGCGGTATCATCCACACATTCATGAGGCATGTATGTATAATGCGCGTATGTTTAACTCTCTTTAGATTTCTGCTACCTCGCATGTCAGTCCCTCCCTGGCCTCTTTCACTTTATCGTTCCTTTCGCTTCTGTTATCTTTTAATGTAGCCAAGGGTCAATAACAAATATGTATCCATTATTTGACATTAAACGTACGCAATGCAACTTGGTAAAATAAGTCTCATGAAAGATAACTGGTAGTCTAATTCGAAAGCCTCGTCTCTCATGTTAAAAATAGAGTCATTGGTAATCAGGCTCGTGGGCCGGTCAAAATGACTTCGCGGGCCGGATCCGGATCCGGTCCGCGGGCCGTAGGTTGCCGACCCTTGCACTAGCTTATACATCTCTACGATCATGACCTCTTCAAATCTTCGTCCAATACTTCATATCTTCATAACGTTAAATTCTTAACTTATTCAGTAAGCCACTATCTTGAGGGATTCTTGCGCCGGGAAAAGTTAAACTAGAGCCGAATATGCAAAGTACTTAGGCTTTAAGGTGTGTAACAAAAAATAAAAATTCTCACCAGAATCTATCTTACATATTTTTCATCAACTATTCGTCCATGCATTGAATATTGTTGCCAAATCTGGTCTGGTCCTTCTGTTATTTATTTGATATTCGAATACAAGTGACTTTTGTAGCTTTCCTTCGCTTTCTCTATAACTTCTTTCATGGTAATTGCTCTGATGAATTTTCTTCTATGGAAACTAGTTAAGGTTGCATAGAGACTTGAAGTATTATAGTGGCAGTAGTAAGAATGGTAAGTAAGAAAGTCTTTTTTTATATCGCTGAGATGAGGTATTACGATTACTTGCATTATTACATTATTCGGACTGACTGTTATCCTTAGCTTCATTGCCATATTCACAACATTTCAGCCGTTGTACGCTCCGGCCTTTCTCAGGTGACTGGCATTTCGAACTGAACCCTTCATTTCAATACCAGCCCAAACTTGGAGATTTGACTTAAAGGGGGATAACTGAGACATCCGGAAGAGGCATGGTACATGCAACTAGAACCATCTAATCCGGTGGGCGAAATGTTGTGAATATGGTAACGAAGATGAGGATAACAGTCTGAATAATGTAAATAACTGCAAGTAAGTAAGAATGTGTTTTTTTATGGTGTAAGAAATAGTGTGGTATATTTTGGTCAGTAATTGGAGCTAGATAGTCTTAAGATAAGACAGATTGAAGACCAAGCGTCTCCTACCCACCGCTTGTGGCCTTGTTCTATATTTTTGTATTATTCAAAATAAATATTACTTTCTTCTATAGTAAAAGAATTTAAGCACAGTACTAGATTGGCGGATAGCTCTCATCATTTTACAAGTGAAACGTCGAGATGAAACCGCAAGTTCTATGTTAACAGTTTCTTCTATAGCATTTCTCTTTGGTTTCTTGCTTTCGGGCCAACATTGATCTTAAAGATTTAAATGCAATTTCAATCGTTATCTTCCTTTATATTAATTCCTGTTCTTTTTATTTTCCCCTTGTTTTTAATTATGTTTCTTCCCCATATTCTCTCATACTCAGTAACCCCTTGCGTCTTAGTGGCTTCTATTGTCTTGGTTGGGGTGAAATGATTTTTAAAAAATAAAATAAAATGAAGAAACATTTGCTAACATATGAAATAATTGGCTAATCCAATACAACAAATTGCAACAATATGTGAGAAAACTTTGTATGCATAGTTAGTGTATTGATTACTAAGGAGGACAATTAATATATGCAGTTTATTATATATATTACTAGCAGTAGAGCCCGGCGTTGCCCGGGGATGAAACAGTAAGAGATAGATCAAGTATTGACCATCATAAAGACGAAAAATAAAATTGACAAAGATTATTGTTTATGGTTGACAGACACGCATGTCTTAATTAGTGTTTTTTTTGTTTTTTTTTTTACGAATTGGTCAATTGGTCAAACCCAAACTCAAACAAAAACATTGTTTTCAATCGTTATGAATCTGCCGATTGAATAGAATTTTATTATAAACAATTGTCTTGTAAATGGAATTTTTAAAGCATTCTGAATGTAAAAATAAAGAAAAAAGTGTGCAAGACAATAAGAAACACCACCTGCCAAAAAAAAAAGAACTGTCCGAATGTTCTGTATTTCCGAGCGCTTTCGGCTATACCTTATAGCCATTATCAAGGATGATTCAATTATCAGCTTAGTAGAG